TGTGTGACTAGAAAAGACACATCTTGTGACCAAAATGAATAAAAGTACTGTCGCTGGAAATAATTAAGGTCATGAGTTGTCTGAGGAGAACTTGCACAAAATCAGGGACAAGGGATTGTTTAAGGAGTGGGAGCAGGCTGTAGTGAAATTTGAAGAGGGTCTGAGTTAAATCTCATTGTGTATCTAAGATATTCAGCCTGGACAGCTGGTAAACTAAGGGGCTGATTTTGGCACTGTCTTTATCAAGCTAGAAACATGTAATAAGGTAATCAAGACCAAGTAGAAAGGTATAAAGCAAATAGATAAACCAGTCATCCAGATTACAGGCTCAATCTGTGCAAGCTGTTTCTCAGACTCCAGAAAGGATGTTTCTGTATTAGTCCTGAGAATTTTTCTTCTGAAGGTGTTAGTTTTAAGTGCTCCACAGAATTAAATTTCCTAAGTCCTCAAACCTGTGAATTTTACAAAAGTTCTGAATGTCCATTAAGGCTGTAAAACTGACACATGCTCAATATTAAAAGAATAGAATCATAATCCCTTGTGTGCTCCTTAGTCTTAGTGTTAGCTATTTGTGCACAGAAAATTAAGTCGATTTTTGTTCTAAAATCCCAAGGTGTGTTTCCTTTTGTACTGTAGTTTTGAATTTAGAATGTAATCCATATGCACAATACAAATATTACCTGTTTGTGTTCAGGTGAAACCTCTTATATTTTACTACAAAGTGGGAGTTCGTACTTTTCTTTTCCCTAGGCAATATGGATGCACACAACAGATAACCTTTCTGTAATGTTAGTTCTGAATGTTCACCTACTGTAGAATGTGTAATTTACCTCCTCAGAACATGTCAATAGTGCTCCTGAGAGGAGATCAGTACTTTTACATACCTATAGAGATTCATGAGATTGCATGCTTCATGCAGCATTTTATTGCCCATCTACTCCTAGTCTTCTTTTTTTTCCTTTCCTAGTAACATTTAGTGATTAATGGGAGTCTTAATTTGCATGCTCACTTTTACGCTCATTACAGTGTGTTATGTGCCAGTAGGAGTCTTAAAGTTCAATGAAAATCTCATGCATACTAATGAGAACGCAAATGAGTGCTGATGAAAGAATGCGAGGGTCTCAAGGTAGGAAATGTCCAGCTATCTTGCAAAATTCCTTTTAGACAAAAGTAGCATTACAATGAGTACAGCATGCAGGAAGTGCCATCCACATAAAATTAGAAGCAGCAGCATAATTAGTTTGAGATGGAGGCAATGATTCATTTTGCCAAAGCTCTGGGGAGCAGGGAAGCATGTTTTGGTTGCACTCAGTACATACATGTTACTTTCTCTACTTTACCAGGTTTAGAACATCTTGGCTGACAATGGAGAGGGCAGTTCTTTCATTGGTGTAGGGAACAGGAGTGTTCATTTGGAAATCTTGTCCAGCTATAACTGTCACTGGACACTTTTTAATTAAGTGTATGCATGTGTGCATATGGTGTTTAAATAATATGTAATAAAGCATCTACCTGCCTTGTTTCCATCAACAAATATTTAACTGTGGTGTAAATCTGTGCAGTAATTTAAACCTGCATTGACTAAAAGTGTAGTGGAGAGTGCAGAGAAAGATGGGAGAGCTTCTCCATTGCTAAATTGTATACACTGACTATATTTTTCAAAGGGAATGCAAAATGTCTTAATTTCAAGATAATCATTTACTTGGATTTTGTTAAAATTAGTGCTAATTCAATAGTAAATCACTGGTTATATTTTTGTATACATTCATTCTTCCTTTAATTGTTACCATGAATTTCTCTTATGCCTGAGTTATGAGGTGTTGGTAGTTTGTTTGAACCTTGTGTTGGATGTTCAAAATATTGTTGATACCTTAGAAAAAATTGAAAGGCTTTTTAAGTTTTCTGTCTGAAACAGAACCACCTGAAAAATGGTGGGGATTAAAGGTATTAGAGTCCTCCCATTCTTCTCCTCAAAGGCTGAAGAGTTGTTAGATGAATTATTAGAAAAATGTATTGCTTTTGAAAGACTGATAAAACTATTAGATGCTAAAGTACAATATACTAAAACATACTCAGTTCAGATGTTTTCTTTGCTTTTAATCTTGTAATGTATCTTGAGCTGTGCTTTATGTAGAATATTTCAGAAATGGATTTGCACAGAGGAAATATTGTATATTAAAGCTAACTAACTTAATCTTATGTCTATAAAGAGATTTTAGTAGATTTTGTTACTCTATTTCTCCCTCAGCTACATAGCAGTGAAGGAATCTTCCATTAAATAATGATTTTCTAATGTAGCTCATTAGAGAAGTTAAAATTAATTTACCTGTAGCTGTTTGGAAAATGGTATCCAATCTTTGTGTCAGCAAGTTTTATTTAGAGTTAAACAGGAAAAGATTTGTAGTCCTGGCGTTTATTAGAAAGAGGGAAGGTTGATAGGTCCTATAAAACCATGCATTCAAATGCTTGTTATAGCTGGAAGGAAAAATAGCAGTGTTATAACTGTGTGCATTATTTGTGTTTTTAAATAGATACAGTCTGATAATGGAATGTTTGATATGAGAAATCTTTCTAAATGAAGAATTGTTTTGTTGCTTTTGAGTGTTGGTACTAATTGAGATCTATTAATGAATGAAAATGTGTTGCATAACGCTCCCAGGACACATGTCATTGTGTTACTGTTCACTGTTCTGTCTGCGGCTTGTTAAACTGAGACAGATAATTAAATTATAACATCTTTTAATAGAAGTATTCCATTTATCTGAAAATCGTTAATCAAATAACTGCCTAAAATTCCCATCTGCTGTTGGAAAAAAAAAATATTGTAATGGTTATATTTTAGCAGTAGTTTCTAACTGCAGCTTAATTCTTGTAGGATTTAATGTATTAAGAATTTTTCTTTAAGAATCACTAATTATAATCAATTGAAGTTAAAATGCAGCTGGTGTTTTATTTCATTTTCAAAAAAATTAAGCAATTTTGAGGTGCTGAGAGCTGTGGAATTGAAACCAGTGGTACTGTACTTCCATGTGAGAGCAGCAAGGCATGGCAAGGCAGAACATGATACTCTGTTGAACGTAATCCCTTAAATTTTGATGTTTAAAACTAAATTTTTTAATGAAACATTTTAAACTACTACTTTTCCTTTTTTCTCCAGCTCTATCTTTTATTAGTATCTAGTATACATATTTCACTATACCTGATATCTCTACCACTTTCTTGCTTTTCTGGATGATGTTTGAACTGGTGCTAAGTACGGACAAGGATGACTTCTGTCAGGAGGAAAGGCTTGTGTGCTATCATTTTCTCTAACAGCATTGTTGGTCCTTCTACAAAGAGTATCTGCAAGGCTGCCAGATGAGAAGTGCCAGTCTCAGTCATGCCTGTTTAGTCTCTTTCAAGCACGGTAACAAAAGTCTTCATTATCCAAACAAACATGCAAAAGAACACTTTGCTGTATCTCGGCACTTGGAGCTGGCTTTCCTTATGTTTGTCCTTCTGTTCATTGCTGGCCAGTTGCATTCTGCTACTCATTCATTTGAAAAATATGAGCAGAAAAGACAAATGGCTACAAAATGTACAGCCCGGTACCTACTAATAGTGTGGATTGAAAAGGCATGAAAAAATGCTACGGTAGTGATACTTTTAGAGAGTGATGGATATTGCCTTGACCACAGTCAGGTATTTTGTTTGTCTAAATAATGCCTGTAATAATTGTATCTCTTACTAATAATTCATCGACTGAATGAAGCAAAACCCGACAGAGTGCTGCTTCTCTGCAATGGGGTCCCTTTGGATTGCTACCTCCAGTCAGTCCCACACTAACGATCAGTGTCTGAAGTGGGAGTGGGCGTAAGTCTATTGATTTTGGTTCATCATGGAAAACCTGAGCCACAGGGCGATTGTCACTGCCACTGCTTTCATTCCTCTGCTGTCTTTTCCAGCATGAATTGACTGAGATGGAGGGAGCCTTCCTTCTCTTACAGCGCCTCCCCCTTGATGCAGTGGGTAATCCCACATAGCTGTAGGACATGTTGCAGTCAGGGCTCTGCCGGCCCTCAGTCAGGTTTGGGGCTTTATCTTGCATCCCTGTAAAGGAGTTCTAGTTGGTACTAACATAAATAGGTTTTTGGCTTTAATAATGCCTGAGGCATATACGGGAATCCCTTCTTCTACAGAGTGGTCTAAGGCTTTTCATACTCTTCAGCAGTCATTGTGTCATTTTCTCAGGGTGAAGCTCAGCTCTGTATAGCAAGCTCAACAACAGGCCGTGAGCCCTGCTTTTTAAGCCCTGTTTTGGCAGCCAGGGTGGTATGTAAACTGTGCCCAAGCTCTCATCGCAGAGGTGATTCCACACCCCCCCCCGCTCCTTCTGTGAAGACTGAGAGTATTGACACAGGAAATAACATCTTGGGTCTTTTTGCCAGATTGTGGCAAATTCTATTGTAAATTTTTATATAAACATTTGCTTTCTGTTACAAATTTATCATAACTCCGAGTTTTAATACTGTCTGTGATCTTTGAAATAATTAATTTGATTTTTATTTCTTTTGCAGCATGGATAAGAAAAAAAAGAAAGGATCCACCCACTATTGAGGTGAGAGAGATGAAGTGTCTTTAAATTTTCAATTATTGTAATTAGCATACAATAATTAATTTATAGTGGACTCATCTGCCCAGTAATTTGTCACTTTTGGGGGAGAATTTAATATGTTGCTTGCCTAATTGATGAAATTATATGCAGACTAGATGTCTAACACTTAAGAAAAACTAAAACAAATGGAAATGTAAACTCTAATGTTCTTTAGTTGTTACTTCTGTCTGCATGAATTCCTTAAGATGATCTGTGTAGATTCTTTAAGATAATCATGGCCATTCAAGAGTTTCTTTAATTAAACAAATTCTGAAATTACTGCTATGATTTTTTAAAATGGGTCCTCTACGTATCAATGCAAGTGTTTTTTCATGGTAGTTAACATTAAAATGAGGTTTCAAATCCAGTTGCCAGTGGATTCATCAGTACAGGAAAACAAATTGCACTAACGTTTTACAGTGCTAATGAGATGAGGGAGTTACAGCCATGACTTCTTCTGTAAGTGGTTTGTAATGGAATGACATGGGGAAATATCCCACAGTCTTTCATGCTGGTGATTTTGCAAAGAATGGAATGAGTTTGACTGTTATCTGTATATATGGATGCATGCACATACACTGCTTGCCCTGGATTTGTATTACAAATTGCTGAGCACCAGCTGGGAATGAGCGAGTAGCTGAGGCATGGTTTACTACCGAAGATTCAAACTGACACCCGCAGAGGCAGATACTTGACTTGCATCAGTAGCAATAACTGTGTCAAATTCAGTGAACCTATGTTGCCATGCTCTAGCCAATGATTTGGTCACTGAGATCTTCTGGAATACACTGGTTTGTGAAAAGTTGTCCTGCCTGCCCGTGTGTTAAGATGACCTGGAGAGGCTTGTCAGTTGATGTTTATAGCTGTAACTCATTGAAATGAGCTCCCACACACCTTAGAGCTTTTCAACTAATTCTCTCTGCCTCTGTTTTGCACTTGCCACTGAGGTTGTAGAGATGAGTAGGGCTATAATACCCCCATGAATGGAAGAAGTTTAAGTTAAATTTATCCTCAAGGTTTTTAGGACTTAAAGCAAATTAACGCACTTTCCTTTGCATTAACATTCAGGTAAGTGTTAGGTGTCATTTTTTAATTTTTTTTTTTCTTTCCTCCTCCCTCCTCATCCTACTTATTTGTACAGAAGTGGTACTACAGCAGTTGTTCTAAGCTTGGACTGATCTCCTTTTAAGTAGCTCTGGCTCATACTAACTGTACACATAGCACTTTTATTGTGGAAATTACCACCTCGTGTGATACTTGAGGATGGGGGTGTTGCATGTCTTCTGGCCTATCATTTCCATGAGCCAGACTGCCATGATAATTGTGCTAAGATAAACCTGCTCCAGAGAATGCAGGTAGCCTTGGGTTTGGAATTGGTGCAATAAAGCTCCTCCTGCTGCTGAAGGTGTTGGTTCTGTTTCAAAAGAGGGAGCAAGGAGTCTCCACAGGTGAGAGAACTGTGGATCAATAGTGTTCTAAATACTTTGCCTTCCAGAAAAAGCAGTTTATGGAGAATGAATGATTATTGGGAGTAATGGTGCATTCAGAGTTACAGGACTACTTATACCTTCAGTTTCATGAGGTAATAGATCTGAAAAAAAAGTAGATCTGAAAAAAGGTACTTTACCTGCAGGGCTGTGCATTGACCTTATCAGAGCAGAAGTGATATACCAGAAATTTGAAAAGTAGTTATCTTTTCTTTCAAGTAATCTCTAAATTGCTTTTTCCTGAATAAGAAAAGGTAGTTCAAATATATGCATGTTAAAAATTCTTGCTAATATTTGGAAAAGAATGCTGCAGTCACATTTTAAATATGTGATAGTGCAGCTTAATTTTTTTTTTCTGTATTAGTGTAGGGTGATAGATATGATCTACTTTTCTCCTGATTTGAAACGGTTATAGCACAAACACTTATACCACAATATCATTATAAATAAAATTATGCTAGTATTTGGTCGCTATTTGTAGGACTGATTGGCTTTAGTGTTCTAGCTACATAAGCTTTGCTGGCTGCTATTCTGTATTATATTCCCTTTTCGATGGTAATGCTGATATGGTAAACGGCTGTTTGACAGCTGTGGAATGATGAGGGAATATTTGTGACCGTATTTAATGTTGAAACCCTGTATAACAAATCTCCTTGTTCTTTCACATACTTCTCATGAGACTAGACTATTTCTGAAAAAGGATGCAAAGCCCACAAATTTCGTATTTTTGCTTTAATGACATTTTACTGTCAACATCATATTGTAACACCACAAAACAGCATTACAGTTCCTAAAACATAAGGTTCTGGAGCTGTGCCTATGTTCCTACCTTTGTGGTCTGTAATACCACTTTTTTTGGGATGGTTTTCCTTTTTCTCCCATCCTTTGCCAATCAACTGTTCTTTTCTTTCTAATATCAAATGACATATGTTAAACTTTATTAAAGTTTCTGTTCCCCTTCTCTGCTCTGTTTGCCTACCATCCTCCCTTAGTATTTTATGTTTGGTTTTTTTATAGTTGTCAAACTTGTCTGTTATTCAGCTCTCAGCTATGGATGATAGATGTTGCCACACTGCTCAGGCTGTCAGGTCTCATGATGAGCTCTATGATCAAACTTTAATTGAAAATATTGCAAAGATATGGCTTCACAAATCAGCTGGATCTTACTGATAGCACCGATAACCACATTTTGGGAACCAATGGTTTGGTGAATACTGCAGGCCAACAAAATGTCATTCATGATCATCATGACATGTCAGTCACTTAAGTGAGAATGAATGTGAGTTGTCCTTCCTTATACTGGTCACAGTAGCTGGGTCATGACACCAGCTAAGTCTGTGGATGATGTTCTTAAGACTTGATAATGTTTTGGGTTTAGGCCATTTTTTCTTCCACAAACACCGAACTGATCTTTTTTTGTTTCCACTATAAGGCTTTCTTTTCCTCACAGAAGAAATTGCTTCACATCTCTTTTTCTTTAGATTCTACTTTTTTTAATGGAAGAATACTCCAGTGGCTTCACAAGACAACTTGCTCAGTGTTAAGTGTTTCACATACTTAACAGTTTGTTTCCTCCCTGTGCCCTCACCACTTTTTCCCTGTTTTTGGAGGAAGTCACTTAAGACTTCTGTGCGCTGGTCTAGTCATAACCCAAGGGCGCTGCTCATGGCCTTGGTTATTTCTAATCTGATCAGTAATGTAAGGCGTGTTAGTGGTTGGAAGCCTGGGGTTTTAAAAGCCAGCTCCTGGGATACTGGAAAGAGTTGGTTGCCTCTTGATTTTGTTACAACTTGAAATACACCATGTCTCATTCTCAACTCAGTTATGATGAGGGTGATAACTTTGCAAATGAATGCAGATCAAGTTGTTTCCTATCTTGCGCTTAAACATATTCTGTTCTTATGGTAATCAGGGAGTCCATCTTGATAGAGAATTTCGGATCACATCTGCACCCAATGTAAGCATACATGTGTGCATACACATACTTATACATATACCTCTTTATTACAGGTGAGAATCTGAGCTTGTATATGTATATATTTGCATTATTATAGCATTGTGTCATCTGTCCCTTTATATATATTGTGTATGGTCATATATGGTTGGCTGAGGAAAATTTATCATTACCTTTATTCCTGTGCAGCTGTAAATTATATTTTAACCAATTTAACAAGTGATGAGTAATTAAGTAAACTATTACATTTCTTTATTATGTATATAGGAAACTAGTTGTATGTAGCATGTTTTTGGGCAATAGGAAATGTGTCCTTGTCTAGAGACCTTACAGTTTTAAATTAATGAAAATGTTTTAAAGGCTACAAATATTAAGATATTTTTAATCAAATGCTATATTGTGGAAGCAGATTTACTAATTTATCACTTTACAAGCAAATTAGTTTACCTGTTAAGCATTAATGTTGTCGGAGTTTATTAACAGAAGTTGTCTTGGGATATAGCAGTTATTTTATAGGAGTCATGTTCCATCTATGCAAATTATTTCTTTAAGAGACTATTCCCTTCCATTCTATGAGCTATAGTCCACTTTCAGTATGGCTCATCAACTAGGTTGAAAGGTAAATGTAAATGTGCTGTCTTGCATACACTTCTACCTCCCAGTTTTCCTTCTGGCTACAGATTTCACTCCTGATTTAAAACATGGCATCTTTATATTTTGAATTTTTCACTTCTCAGTTGCAAAGAAAAGAAAAAATGCTCTTGGGAGGCAGGGGGGAAAATCCTTCTTTTCAGGACATATTTTTTTATGTTGCTATTCCATCACCAGAGCAGAACTCCCCAAATTTAAAAGATGTTAAACAATGTAACACCTATAGGACCACTGTGGGTATGTCTCACTCTTTTTATGCACCTCAATGAATTTCAGGCGAAGCGCTGCTGATAAGAACTTATCTAGACTTCTCAGCACTTTGTTGATAGGCAACTTTGCATGACATTCAGAAGCTTTGCTGCCTTTTACATCTCCTGTTTTCATTCTGGGTCACATCCCTTTTAAAAAAAATGCTTTGTTCAAAATTCGAGGTAGCATTACATAAATATATAAAAATACTAATGAAAGAAATTGTTATTTTCTGTTGGTGCAGCTCCTAATTGAGATAGTGGCTGGATGCATAAGGTATTTGTAAGCTTTTGTTATGATGCCTGTTGCAATAGAGTATCTACCCCTCTATCTGTCTCTCATCTTTATATGATCAGTGCATATGTAACACACAGGCAGGTTTTCCCCTACATAGACAGTGGGAGTCGTATCAAAATTGGTTTAGGCATCTTGAATCTAAGACGTACTGAGTCTTCAGCTTCTAAACCTGGAAGGAACTAAGAGGCATATTTTTAATGTAGAAACCTTAAAAATATCAGGCATATAGTGAGTTTTTAAGCCTTTCTGTGCCTCACTTCTATTTGATTTCTTTAGTATTTCTGATTTCAGAGGACATCAGATTTGTAGGGCCTTTTAAAGAATCC